TTGACCCCCAAAACACATTTGATACTCTGGATTCTCCCCCTGATCTGTACTGGACTAAAGCTGGATCTGGACCTTTCAGCCGGTGTGCGGCTCTGCAATGTACATTTTTTGTTACATGACTCCACAGCTCAGGGGTGCATTTCCTGCGAGGAGAACAAGGAGTTTGCCTTGGGCGGCATTTTTCAGTGTTCCTGCAGTGATGTATTTTATCGATACATTTTGGAATAAAGTATCTTTTAATATGTTTTTTTAACTTTATTAATTGAGTCCCATTCTGAATGTTACAATGTTTTCAGTCCTCTAATATTTTTAGATGTGGTGCCCGATCTGATGTCACATCAATCACACATTTTCACTCTGGAAGGTCCATACACATAGCCATTGGAGAAGTAACAGTCCAACAATTCAAGGGAGCTTCCACATTGTAGATTTATTCAGACCCCAGGAACAAGAACAAACATGGTGCCATTCCCACCCTCAGACCACCGACCTACAACGTGCTTCTCCCTTATGGACCAAATCCCTTCGTTTTATTTTGTTGAGATTTTTCAGTTATAGGACTTTTATTAAAATCTATAATTGGGACTGTAGGGGCGGAGCTTGTCAGAGTTGGCCATTCTGGAGGCAGGAACAACACCATGCTTTCTTCAGACCCCAGGAACAAGCACAGGCAGGCATGCTGCCATTAATAATGGTTCCTCAAGGTCACTCCCACCTCTAAACTGCTCACCTCTGATGTGCTTCACCCAAATGATGCTTTTATTTTTGTTGGGACTTGGAGGTTATAGGACTTTTATAAAATCTCTGATTGGGCCTGTAGGGGCGGAGCTTGTTAGAGTTGTCCCGTCTGGAGGCAGGAACAAAACCATGCTTTATTCAGACCCCAGGAACAAGCGCAGGCATGCTGCCATTAATAAGGGTTCCTCAAGGTCACTCCCACCTCCAAACTGCTCACCTCCGATGTGCTTCACCTCTATGGACCCAATCTATTCTTTTTATTTTGTTGGGACTTTGAGGTTATAAGACTTTGACAAGCTCCACCCCTACAGGCCCAATCAGAGATTTTATAAGAGTTGGCCATGCTGGTGGCAGGAATAACAGCATGCTTTATTTAGACCCCAGGAATGAGAACAAGCATGCTGACGTTCCCACCTACAAAATACTTCACCCCTATGGACCCAATCCCTTCTGTTTATTTTGTTGAGATGTTGCAGTTATAGGACTTTTATAAAATCTATGATTGGACCTGTAGGGGCGGAGCTTGTCAGAGTTGGCCATTCTGGAGGCAGGAACAACACCATGCTTTACTCAGACCCCAGGAACAAGCACAAGCATGCTGCCATTAATAAGGGTTCCTCAAGGTCATTCCCACCTCCAGACTGCTCACCTCCGATGTGCTTCAACCTTATGGACCCAATCCCTTCTTTTTATTTTGTTGAGAATTTGCAGTTATAGGACTTTTATAAAATCTCTGATTGGGCCTGTAGGGGCGGAGCTTGTCAGAGTTGGCCATTCTGGAGGCAGGAACAACAGCATGTTTTCTTCAGACCCCAGGAACAAGCACAAGCACGCTGCCATTAATAAGGGTTCCTCAAGGTCATTCCCACCTCCAGACTGCTCCTCTCCGATGTGCTTCAACCTTATGGACCCAATCCCTTCTTTTTATTTTGTTGAGAATTTGCAGTTATAGAGCTTTTATAAAATCTCTGATTGGGCCTGTAGGGGCGGAGCTTGTCAGAGTTGGCCATTTTGGAGGCAGGAACAACACCATGCTTTATTCAGACCCCAGGAACAAGCACAAGCATGCTGCCATTAATAAGGGTTCCTCAAGGTCATTCCCACCTCTAGACTGCTAACCTCCGATGTGCTTCATCCTTATGGAGCCAATCCTGTCAAGGTCCTACCTTTTCCCTGAGGTTATGTTACTCCATGTGCTGGCATCCATCTTGGATTCTGCTGTGCATGGTGGGAATCCTTTTATGCCTTCAGGTCTCTGTGGTCCATCCCCCAGAGGGGTGTGGCTGATGACATATAAGCCTGTGGCCCGCACATGCTCTTTGCACTTGTGTCTTTGTGTCGCTATTACTCTGTTCTGACTCTCGTGACTCTCCTGGTATCTGATTCGGCTTGTGACTCGACTATTCTTTGTATTCTCCTTTGATCTGACCCTCTGTTGCTGAACCCGGCTCGTGACCTGTGATTCTCGTCTGCTGTCCTGTACTGTTTTGTCCTGTTGTTGTTGACCCGGCTTGTCTGACTACTCTTTTGTCTCTTCCACCAGCTACACGCCATTGGCGGCGGCCATTACCGCAGCTGAGGTGTCTCGGGGGCCGCGACCTGGTTCCTGGCTGCGTCAAGTCCATCCCCACCATCAGGGGCCCTGGTGAAGGGCAGCCTGGGACTTAGACTCCGCGCCCTGAGGGACTTCGGTCTGTGGGTGGTGGTTGTCGTCAGCCAGTGAGTTACATTGTTAGGCCTGCCTGTCCGTTCCTCGGCCCCTGCCCTGACAAATCCCTTCTTTTTATTTTGTTGAGAATTTGCAGTTATAGGACTTTTATAAAATCTATGATTGGGCCTGTAGGGGGTGGAGCTTTTCAGAGCTGGGCATTTTTTAAGTGGGAACGGCAGCACGCTTGTTCTTGTTTCTGGGAACTGAATAAAACTTTCACTAGTCTGTGACCTCTACATGTGTGTGGATCCTTTATATGATTAGATGAGACATCTGGAGTGAGCTAGGGCCCCTGAGCCGGCTGGCTTCCATACAGCAATGACGTGATGCTGCTACCCTTCCAAATATATCATGAATAAGCGTAGCACACCAGTGCTCAGCGCACAGCGGCACAAAATCTACTCCAACATCCAACAAAAAGGCCGGCCACACGGTATGTGATGCTCCTAAAAATCTTCTGTAGCGTAGGCCCATCAGGAGAAAAAAAAATAAGTGGTTATGACTAAGGCCCACCAGGGCTGAAACGCGTCAACTTCTCCTGTACATAGGATGTTTTTTTCCTGAGTCGGCTACCTGGACAGAGAAGTTTCAGGGGGTTTGGAGGATTGACAGATTTCTATTTGCTTGCAACACAGGAGAAACTTACTGTATTGTACTTTTTCATGGGGCACAAGACAATCGCTTTAAAAGTCAACAACATCTTCCTTGAAAACTTTTTACCCTGCTAGACTGACCGCAAAGATACCAATGGAAAGAAAAGCCTTTACATCAAGACTGACCTTCCAGAGCCTCTGAGTCCAACGTCTCCCCGAGCCGCTGTAGCAGCCTCGCCCGGGCTGCGTTCTTCTTGTGCTTTTTGCCTTCGTAGTGCTGCTGGGCCATCATCGGGTTGTTAAACCAAGCTCGACACAGGTCACAGAATTTCCGCGATTCGCTTCCAATGTTGAAGCTCCACAAAGTGTCTTCTTCTTGGAGGGGAATTTCAGCTTGCTCGGGGTTCTCCTGCGCGGGTTCTGAAGGAATCAAAACAAGATGACTTATTGTATTTTATACTACAACTAGTACAGATTGAAAGTAAAAAAAGATACATGGAAGATAATTAATTGGATGCAAGGGTGGACTGACCATTTGGAAACTCGGGTCAGTATGGGGCCCCATGAGATGCCACTGGTAACTTTTTCATAGGCTTGTTTGAGTTTGGGCAAGGACACAGGGGCCCCAAGAGTTGTCAGTCCGCCCCTGATTGGATCAAATCTTTCATGTCATCACTGTCACAATTGACAGAGTCTTTCCTCCTTCTAGGGTCTAAATCAGCCGTTCTTAAAGCAAAAATCCGGGCAAAATTTTTTTGAACCATGCAGTGGAGCTGTGCCCGCACTGCATGGGCCAACTGCTCGGTTTTGTCCAGGTGTGTTAACAGTGAAGATATACTTACTGAATCCACCGATCCTCGGAGCACAAGACCAGTCCCTGACGCTTCTTCCTGCCATACGCTAGTGATCTTGTGAATGGACTGTTTCTGACGTCATCGTGCCCATAGGCTAGTTCCGGTGTGAGGACTACAGGAACAGTCCGCCGCTGGACACAGGGGAGCATGGTTTTCCGAAGGATCGGAGGATGGGGTAGAAATGACTCTTTCCAAGGCACCCTTTGTCTCCACCCCCTACCCGCCTCCGAGCACTGTTCCTTGGTTGAACCCCCCTCCCAGTACTGCCGTTTTAGAGAAAGCAGAACAGTAGAATTTTGTGGTAGTATGTCATTTGTATGGAATTTGTTACTGTAACAAGAAAAGAAGTAAAATGGATCGTCTGCAGCCAGCGGCGACAATAGAATCCCCTGCAACAATAGATCCCCCCCCAACAACCATACATTCCCCCCAGCAACAATAAATTCCCCCCTAGCAACAACAGATTCCCCCCAGCAACCATTGGCTCCCCCCAAGAAACAATAGATCCCCAGCAAAAATAGATCTCCAGCGGTCAACAATATTAGACTCCTCTCTCAACAGTACAACCATCCTATCAACAATGTACCCCCCAGCAACATATGAGCCACCCCCAGTAACAATAGATCCCCAGCAACCAGCATCAATAAACCCTTCAGCACACCCCAGCATCCCTGGCCATTACATACATTCAGTGCTGAAAGTACTGGAACTGTTTTTCCCCCATGTTCCTGCTGAAAAAAAGACTCGCCCAAGACAAAACCAAGCATTTGACCCTCGTAGTGGAGAGGGAGCGCCTCTGCAGGGGTAACATCGGAACTTCCCCAGGCTTCAGCTTTCAAAGTTGAATTCCACATTCGAAGATATAGCACCCTACAGCAGAATCACAGATTTAGGCTCAGAAGGTTAACCCCGGGACACTCCGCATTTTCTAGAGTTATTGTATTTGTAGATTTATTGGAGCTCCTGTAACCCTTCAGCCTCAAACAAACCTAAATATATAAATCAGCAAAGTCCATTGATGTTAGGTCCTAAAATGTACCTACACTATATTGCCAAAATGATTGGCCCCGCCCTCCCAATCACTGGATTCAGGTGTTCCAATCCCCTCCATATCATGTGATTCAGGTGTTCCAATCCCCTCCCAATCATGTGATTCAGGTGTTCCAATCCCCTCCCAATCACGTGATTCAGGTGTTCCAATCCCCTCCCAATCACGTGATTCAGGTGCTCCAATCCCCTCCCAATCATGTGATTCATGTGTTCCAATCCCCTCCCAATCATGTGATTCAGGTGTTCCAATCCCCTCCATATCATATGATTCAGGTGTTCCAATCCCCTCCAAATCATGTGATTCAGGTGTTCCAATCCCCTCCCAATCATGTGATTCAGGTGTTCCAATCCCCTCCCAATCATGTGATTCAGGTGTTCCAATCCCCTCCCAATCATGTGATTCAGGTGCTCCAATCCCCTCCCAGTCATGTGATTCAGGTGTTCCAATCCCCTCCCAATCATGTGATTCAGGTGTTCCAATCCCCTCCATATCATGTGATTCAGGTGTTCCAATCCCCTCCCAATCATGTGATTCAGGTGTTCCAATCCCCTCCCAATCATGTGATTCAGGTGTTCCAATCCCCTCCATATCAATTGATTCAGGTGTTCCAATCCCCTCCATATCATGTGATTCAGGTGTTCCAATCCCCTCCATGGACACAGGTGTATACAATCAAGCCCCTAGGCATGCAGACGGCTTCTACAAACATTGGTGAAAGAATGGGTCGCTCTCAGGAGCTCAGTGACTCCAAGCGTGGTCCCGTGATAGGTGGCCACCTGGGCAATAAGTCCATCCGTGACATTTCCTGGCTACTAAATATTCCACGCTCAACTGTTAGTGGGATTATAACAAAGTGGAAGCAACTGGGAACAACAGCCACTCAGCCACCAAGTGGTAGGCCACGTCACATGACAGGGGGCGGGATCAGCGCATGCTGAAGCGCACAGTGCGCAGAAGTCGCCAACTGTCTGCAGAGTCAATAGCTAAAGACCTCCAAACTTGGTGTGGCCTTCAGATGAGCCCAACAACAGTGCGTAGAGAGCTTCATGGAATGGGTTTCCATGGCCGAGCAGCTGCATCCAAGCCTTCCATCACTGAGTTGGTCCATGAAAGTTGGTGAGTGGGGGGGGGCACACAGGCATGGAGCGCAGAGCACTTATCACCTTTTGGATGTGACTTGATTTCACATTATATTGTTATGTGTTCATTATTTAAGCATGCTTTTCATGTCATATAACATACATTGAGGCAGCGCTCTTGCTATTTTGTGTATTACATCACCAAGTGCAACTCAAAGCTTCGGATGTCGTGGTGTAAAGCACACCGCCACTGGACTATAGAGCAGTAGAGACGTGTTCTCTAGAGTGACCAATCACACTTCTCTGTCTGGCAATCCGATGGACGTGTCTGGGTTGGCAGTTACCAGGAGAACGGTACTTCCCTGACTGCATTGTGCCAAGTGTAAAGTTTGGTGGAGGGGGGATTATGTTGGGGGGTTGTTTTTCAGGGGTTGGGCTTGGCCCCCTAGTTCCAGTGCAGGGAACTCTTAAGGCGACATTTTGGACAATTTCATGCCCCCATCTTTGTGGGGAGGAGTTTGGGGATGGCCCCTTCCTGTTCCAACATGACTGCGCACCAGTGCACAAAGCAAGGTCCATAAAGACATGGAGGAGCCAGTTTGGGGTGGAGGAACTTGACTGTCCTGCACAGAGTCCTGACCTCAACCCATAGAACACCTTTGGGATGAATTAGAGCGGAGACTGCGAGCCAGGCCTCCTCCCCCGACATCAGTGCCTGACCTGACAAATGTGCTTCTGGAAGAATGGTCCAACCTTCCCATAGACACCCTCCTAAACCTTGTGGACGGCCTTCCCAGAAGAGTTGAAGCTGTTATAGCTGCAAAGGGCGGGGCCAACTCAATATTGAACCCTACGGACTAAGACTGGGGGGCCATTAAAGGTCATGTGCGTGGAAAGGGCGGGGCCAACTCAATATTGAACCCTACGGACTGAGACTGGGGGGGCCATTAAAGGTCATGTGTGTGGAAAGGGAGGGGCCAACTCAATATTGAACCCTACGGACTAAGACTGGGGGCCATTAAAGGTCATGTGTGTGGAAAGGGAGGGGCCAACTCAATATTGAACCCTACTGACTAAAACTGGGGGCCATTAAAGGTCATGTGTGTGTGGAAAGGGCGGGGCCAACTCAATATTGAACCCTACTGACTAAAACTGGGGGCCATTAAAGGTCATGTGTGTGGAAAGGGAGGGGCCAACTCAATATTGAACCCTACGGACTTATGTCAGCCATAGACGGTTCGAAAATCGGCGGATTTTTCAGCCGAAAAAAAAAATCGGCCAATTTTCGCACTGTTAGTGGGTTTTACCTGGCAACGATGGTCAAAACAGACGATCGTTTTAACGATGAAAACATCGGCGCAGGAGCCGTGACCTGCAAGGGCCTGCATAAGACTGGGAGGCCATTAAAGATCATGTGTGTGGAAAGGTCGGCGGCCCAATACTTGGGGTAATATAGTGTGTGTGTGGGGTAATATAAAGGGCCGGCGGCCCAATACCTGGGGTAATATAGTGTGTGTGGAAAGGCCAGCGGCCCAGTATTTGGGGTAATATAATGTGTGTGGAAAGGCCGGCGGCCCAATACTTGGGGTAATATAGTGTGTGTGGAAAGGCCGGCGGCCCAATACTTGGGGTAATATAGTGTGTGTGGAAAGGCCGGCGGCCCAATATACTTGGGGTAATATAGTGTGTGTGGAAAGGCCGGCGGCCCAATATTTGGGGTAATATAATGTGTGTGGAAAGGCCGGCGGCCCAATACTTGGGGTAAGTGTGTGTGTGGAAAGGCCGGCGGCCCAATACTTGGGGTAATATAGTGTGTGTGGAAGGCCGGCGGCCCAATACTTGGGGTAATATAGTGTGTGGAAGGGCCGGCGGCCCAATACTTGGGGTAATATAGTGTGTGGACGGGCCGGCGGCCCAATACTTGGGGTAATATAGTGTGGGGCGGGCCCAATACTTGGTGTAATAAAGTGTGGCCGGCGGCCCCAATACTTGGGGTAATATAGTGTGTGTGGAAGGGGCCGGCGGCCCAATACTTGGGGTAATATAGTGTGTGGAAGGGCCGGCGGCCAATACTTGGGGTAATATAGTGTGTGTGGAAGGGCCGGCGGCCCAATACTTGGGGTAATATAGTGTGTGGAAGGGCCGGCGGCCCAATACTTGGGGTAAATATAGTGTGTGTGGAAGGGCCGGCGGCCCAATACTTGGGGTAATATAGTGTGTGGAAGGGCCGGGGGCCCAATACTTGGGGTAATTAGTGTGTGTGGAAGGGCCGGCGGCCCAATACTTGGGGTAATATAGTGTGTGTGGAGGGCCGGCGGCCCAATACTTGGGGTAATATAGTGTGTGGACGGGCCGGCGGCCCAATACTTGGGGTAATATAGTGTGTGTGGAAGGGCCCCGGCGGCCCAATACTTGGGGTAATATAGTGTGTGAAGGGCCGGCGGGCCCAATACTTGGGGTAATATAGTGTGTGGGGCCGGCGGCCCAATACTTGGGGTAATATAGTGTGTGTGGAAGGGCCGGCGGCCCAATACTTGGGGTAATATATAGTGTGTGTGGAAGGGCCGGCGGCCCAATACTTGGGGTAATATAGTGTGTGGAAGGGCCGGCGGCCCAATACTTGGGGTAATATAGTGTGTGGAAGGGCCGGCGGCCCAATACTTGGGGTAATATAGTGTGTGGAAGGGCCGGCGGCCCAATACTTGGGGTAATATAGTGTGTGGAAGGGCCGGCGGCCCAATACTTGGGGTAATATAGTGTGTGGAAGGGCCGGCGGCCCAATACTTGGGGTAATATAGTGTGTGGAAGGGCCGGCGGCCCAATACTTGGGGTAATATGGGGTGTGTGTGGAAGGGCCGGCGGCCCAATACTTGGGGTAATATAGTGTGTGTGGAAGGGCCGGCGGCCCAATACTTGGGGTAATATAGTGTGTGGAAGGGCCGGCGGCCCATACTTGGGGTACTTGGACGGGCCGGCGGCCCAATACTTGGGGTAATATAGTGTGTGTGGAAGGGCCGGCGGCCCAATACTTGGGGTAATATAGTGTGTGGAAGGGCCGGCGGCCCAATACTTGGGGTAATATAGTGTGTGGAAGGGCCGGCGGCCCAATACTTGGGGTAATATAGTGTGTGGAAGGGCCGGCGGCCCAATACTTGGGGTAATATAGTGTGTGGAAGGGCCAGGGGCCCAATACTTGGGGTAATATAGTGTGTGGAAGGGCCGGGGGCCCAATACTTGGGGTAATATAGTGTGTGTGGAAGGGCCAGGGGCCCAATACTTGGGGTAATATAGTGTGTGGAAGGGCCGGCGGCCCAATACTTGGGGTAATATAGTGTGTGGAAGGGCCGGCGGCCCAATACTTGGGGTAATATAGTGTGTGGAAGGGCCGGCGGCCCAATACTTGGGGTAATATAGTGTGTGGAAGGGCCGGCGGCCCAATACTTGGGGTAATATAGTGTGTGGAGGGCCGGGGCCGGCGGCCCAATACTTGGGGTAATATAGTGTGTGTGGACGGGCCGGCGGCCCAATACTTGGGGTAATATAGTGTGTGTGGAAGGGCCGGCGGCCCAATACTTGGGGTAATATAGTGTGTGTACTTGGAAGGGCCGGCGGCCCAATACTTGGGGTAATAAGGGCCGGCGGTGGGGTAATATGTGTGTGGAAGGGCCGGCGGCCCAATACTTGGGGTAATATAGTGTTGGAAGGGCCGGCGGGGGTAATATAGTGTGTGGAAGGGCCGGCGGCCCAATACTTGGGGTAATATAGTGTGTGGAAGGGCCGGCGGCCCAATACTTGGGGTAATATAGTGTGTGGAAGGGCCGGCGGCCCAATACTTGGGGTAATTGTGGTAATATAGTGTGTGGAAGGGCCGGCGGCCCAATACTTGGGGTGGAAGGGCCGGCGGCCCAAATATAGTGTGTGGAAGGGCCGGCGGCCCAATACTTGGGGTAATATAGTGTGTGGAAGGGCCGGGGTAATACTTGGGGTAATATAGTGTGTGGAAAAACCGGGCCGGCGGCCCAATACTTGGGGTAATATAGTGTGTGTGGAACGGGCCGGCGGCCCAATACTTGGGGTAATATAGTGTGTGGAAGGGCCGGCGGCCCAATACTTGGGGTAATATAGTGTGTGGAAGGGCCGGCGGCCCAATACTTGGGGTAATATAGTGTGTGGAAGGGCCGGCGGCCCAATACTTGGGGTATATAATATAGTGTGTGGAAGGGCCGGCGGCCCAATACTTGGGGTAATATAGTGTGT